TGTCTGTTCAATTTTATACTCTTTGCAAATAAAGAGGTCTGCTTGACCCCAGTTTACTGGATGGACACCATCAGTTCTTGCTGTTGACAATTCAGCTTTAGAGAAGGCATGAGCTGAGCAAGGAGAATAAATTGCAGAACTGTGATACCACAATGACAAGAGTTGACATTCTGAGCTTGTTCTTGGCTTCTTGGCCTCATTCGTTCATACGAGGTGTAGGAAAAGGGAGTTAATAGTTAAGAAATGGTGAATTCAGTGAATGCTCTCTTAAAAGATCAGGAGTTCAAGACCACCATTTCGGATAGTTCTTGCTTTAGTTTTAAATGTAGGCTTTCACACATGTAAAAAACTGGGGAAAAGTCACTGTAAATATTGCTGTATGGAGAGCATTAAAAGAAAAATCCCATGTAAAATGTAATTTTCTCTCTTACCCTGTAAGTCTTTTGATTTATAATGTGTGAGGTGTAAAGTCAGAGCATTAAGGTTTGGCAGTTTCTTAAGATGCAAACTCATTCTAGAAACTCATTTCAGCAGTTTGTTCCAACTTGTTTTGCAAATCCAGCATTCTTTAGTTACTTTACAGTACAGGCTCTTCTGATTTGTAAAATTTAGCACTTAGCCTTATTTTTTAAGTTAAAACTATTAGTATAAACCCACATATGATATGATGAGTAAGGGATCAGAATACAGTACACTGTCATAGCCTGCAAAAGTAATTCTGTCCTGTTTATATTTTTAAAGGTCCCAGCACCAGAACATGCAGAAAAAGGTGGCGTAAGTAATGTGACAGAAGCTAAAATAGTGCTCTTTCTCACATCCTTATTTATTAAGGTAACTCTCACTTCAGTGAATTGTTTGGAGGGGCAGCTTTATAACTAATGATTCTTACATTGCTATAGTAATGGCACCTCCTATGTTTTGGGTTATTCTTTGAGGGATAATCTTAAGGATAAATCGAGGGTTGTCTGCATGTCAGTACAGTGAGGAGCCTGAGCTCTGCATTCCCTTCCCTGTGCCTTGCCTGGCTGGATTTAGGATGTAAATAAATCAGCTGGATGCCAAATTCTTTTAAGAGATGAGCACTTCTTTGGGAGGGATGGGAGAGGATTTGCCTTTCTTCCTTATTTCATCCAGTAATACAGACTAGGAGTTCTCAGAGTTCACCTCACAGTTTGACAAAGAAAGAAAAATGAGGCTTTCCTGGGTATCTGTCTTTGTGCTAAGTTAGGACAAAGCTTGGGATCTTGCAGTAACTCAGGTTTTCTGTTTTCTTTAGTAATACCAGTCACACCTATAGTTCCATTGATGACTTAGTGTAGACACAATATCTTGCAGCACTGTTTAAAAAAAAATAAAGAAATCCTTGAGGGTTTTGTGATGGCGATGAGTTTCCCAAGCCAACTGCAGTGACAGCTTTTTTCTTCTGTTCCTGCTCCATTCAGGCTGGCTGCAAGCCTTCAGACATTGGCATCATATCACCCTACAGACACCAGTTAAAAACAATCACTGATTTGATGGCAAAACTGAAGGAGAACAGAGTGGAAGTCAACACGGTCGACAAATACCAAGGAAGAGACAAAAGTATCATAATCGTGTCTTTTGTTAGGAACAGCAATGATGAAAATGTAAGTTGGTCATACTACCTTTGTGCCAGTCAATTGTAGCAGTCAGATGCCTTTTGAAAACGAGTGTTTTATCTACATTAAATAGGACAAATAAAAGCAAGTTCCATTTATCTGACAGCTTGGCAACCTCCTGAAGGACTGGCGGCGCCTGAATGTTGCCATCACGAGAGCCAAGCACAAGCTGGTCATGGTGGGCTGTGTTCCATCCCTGAGCTGCTATCCTCCCCTGGAGAAGCTCCTCTGCCACCTGCAGTCCCACGCAATGATATCCTTTTTCTGCACCCAGGTTTGGGAAAGGGGAAAGGTAAGATTGACTTACTGAGTTTTGAGGTAAGGATGGGAAGATCTTGGATTATTTAGCTTGTGTTTTTAACAGTGATTTGCCACACAGCACAAAATGTGCTAATTAAACTTGCCAGAAGTATACTCGAGATGAAGAAATAGAAAAAAGTCCATGCTGATTTGCAAATCAACTTCGATGTAATTTTTTAATTTTGAAGCCTGAATTTCTGAGTTTTGATGCTCTTGCATTCTTTTCCGTGACCATCCTAGTTTCTTGGCATCTTAGTGTGATTGCTTTCTTCAGAAGTACCATGCATTTCAACACTATCCACATGCCTCGTGGATAGTCTTGCTGGAAAGGAAAATAGGTTCACTTTCAGGTGACTTGTTCATTTTTCATTTCTCTCTGGCATTGTACTGAGTAAGCTTTAGCTATGGCTTTTTCCATCTCCTATTTAAACGGGAAATAACCTTGTTAGCTTCTTTCTTTGCAAACCCCAATACATATTCAAACAGATTTGGGGAATGTGATATGTTGTCATAATGCTTCCTTAACTTGCTACATCTTCAATCTTCCAGCCGGGGCTCATGAAAGTATCCACAAGTGTAACATCTTATGAGCGTGAAGAAGGGAAGTTTTACAGCCATTTGTATCTTTTCTTTTGCTTTGGTTCTAAAGACTTGAAAATACAGTTTACATACAGTGATTCCATTTACTGGAATTCCCAATTAAGGTGCTGGGTTGTGCTGTTTGGAACAAAAATAGGAAAAACGTCTTTGTCATCATCAAAGCCTCACATTCTTCTTTAAACTCTACTCCTGTTTTTTAAAATACCAAAGTGTTTTATATTTATATACATAATGTAATTAATCTCTCTCACGAAGATCCCTTGATGACTTTTCTAATCACTTGATTTTGCACACATCAGGGAGAAATGGAATGCTGATTGACTTAATTCCCTGCTGTTAACTGTGTTCAGCAGATCAGTCTGAAGTGAAATGCTTCCTAGTAAAACTCTGTTTTCAGTTTGTCTGATCTGTAGTCTTCAAAACAAAACTTTCCCAAGACAGAGAGCCAGAGCTGCAGCTTGCTGACTGAGAAGTTTACATGCTCAGGTTCTATTTTTTTACAGATATGAATATTCATATTGGATATGATAATAGCAAACACTGTTTACTTGAGACATCTGTAGTCTTTATGCTACCTCATATTCTAGACTAAAGAGACTGAAAAGTTTCTTTCCGAGATTGCTGTTGGAAACATCAATTTTCTTGATTCTTCAGAATCATTAGTATTTGTTTTCTCTGGGATCAGTGTCAAGTAGCTGTGTGCATACAGATGCAGACAAACTTCTTAAATGTGGGCATTTTCACTCTCTTACACTGCTCCCTGACTTTTCATAATGCTTGAAATAATAAAAGTTTGCTGTTTGCTTCATTACAGTTGTTTAAACTTTGTTAATACTGTGCTTTATATAATACAAATATTTTTAACAGTTGAATATCATTTTAGTATCTGACAGGATATCCTCCTTTTTCTGGTGAAAATACACGTTGCATCAACTGTGTCTGTGCTCTGTGACTTCCATAAGATGGAAAAAATACAGTAAAATACACTGTTCATTATAGTAGCAATTTCAGAACAACATATACTGGTTTAGAAGAGTTTTTCTTTCTATATTTAGAATCTACATGTACAAAACACTAAGACTTAGCTAATCTATTTTCTTATACCGAGTTCTACTTATCCAGGAAATGGTCCGCATGCTACTAAAAGGTTTATAAACAAATTCGAGCACAAGAACATTTCCTTATCTACTTATAAAATGCATTCTTCCTTCTTTTTGTATAGTAAAACTTAGATCGAGGAGTGATCTACAGATGAAACCATGTTTTGGTCTGGTATTCTCCAACAAAATTGAGATTTGATGCTCTAAAACACTCTGAATGTATGTAGTGAATGTGTGTCTATCTATCTATCTGTCTATCTATCTATCTATCTATCTATCTATCTATCTATCTATCTATCTATCTAATATCTATCTATCTATCTATCAATCAATCAAAGAGTGTGCCTGTCCCTGTGTACTGTTCCAGGCCTGTGCTGCCCTTGTCCTTTGGTCCTTCCTTGCAGGCCCGTTTTCTCTGTGCAGTTTTGTGTGCCATCTCTGAAGCTGAGCAAGGTAAAGGACACCTTTTTGTTCTACAGCTTTCTGATTAGGCTTGTCTAAGGAGGGGAAAGATCAGGATTTAGAACAATTATTAAGCAAAGCAAATTGTAGTGCTCAGGGTGCAGTAAGCACAAACTGAGATCCCATCTGGGTGTGACAGAAATGCTTTGTGTTTAATGCCTCAGTGTGTTTTGGTGTGGTTTTTTTGTTTTGTTTTTGTGGGTTTTTTTTGTTGTTGTTGTTGTGTTGATTTTTTTTCTGGTGATATTAATGTTTTAGGTCTTTTTTAAATTAAACCCCAAAACCTGACTTTTTTTAAATACTACCTTTTATTTCCACCGTACTATGTTCTAAGGTGCTAAACTCAAAGATTTTTTTTTTTTTCTGGAATACTACTCCTACTTGTTCTGATACACGTTTTCCGGCGTTAGAGAATTATCATTTGGAATAAATGTTCGGGATTGAAGCTTTCAGCGGCGAGAGGGGTAGGGAAGGCTCAGGTTCGTGCTGCTGATTGTGCTTAGCTGATGTCAGAGGCCTCGTGTGCCGCAGCCTGCCCCGGCTCTCTTGCTGCCGCCCCCTGCCCGGGCTGGGGGGATCTGTCGCGACAGGGCGATAGGGGCGGGTCCTCCCGCCGCCGGGGGCGCCGTGCGGGGCGGGCGGGGCCGCGGGCCCGCAGGGAGCGGCTGCGGCGGCTCCTCCTCTCCGGCCATGGGTGAGCGCGGCTGCGGCGCCGGGAGCGGGGCCGGCCGGGGCGGGGGCCGCGGGGCCGGGCGGGGGGAGCGGGGCAGGGGTGACCGCCGGGGCCGGAGCGGGGCCGGCGTGGGCTCGGGGTGCGGTGCCGCGGGGTCCCTGGGGCTGCGGGTGCGTGCGGGGGCTCTGCCGGGAGCGACGGGCTCGCGTTCCGCCCGCTGCCGCAGCCAGACCCCGCTCAGCCCGCGGCTGCCCGTCCGGGCGGCGGGAACATCGTGCCCTGCGCCACGGCCCTGGTGATGCCGAACAGCAGGGCCAGCGGCAAACAGCGCCTTCGGGGCCGAGGGGAGCCCTCAGAGCTCCTTCTGCTGTTTGTGCCGCACCCCGTACGGTACCTGAGCAGCAGTTAGCATTTAGGATTTTACACGCCACGTTAAATGCTAAATATTTTATTTATTTGTTTGTTTGTTTATTTATTTATTTAGAAGCGGATGAAATAAAATAGCTATATGCGGCTAGACCACGCTTTAAAACAGACCTAAAATGCATTTTACCTCGGAAGAAGCAGACGAGAGGGCTGACAGTTAAAAGGACACTAGATCCGAGAGTCTTGTCTGTGGGCAGGATCAGCTCCAAAAGTCAAAATGAGGTCACCTGAAAAAGGAATTGGTACGATGGCTTTGGGCAATAAAGAGGGTATGCAGCAAGGGAGAGCTATCCACCTGAAGGCTGCAGCAAGCAAGGCGTTTCCTACGCTAACACTTGTGTTTAGTACTGTCCATAGCAGACCTAATAAAGCAGCAGGAAGTCTGCCTTACCCACGGCAAGGCTCCTCTTGTTGCAAGTCTCACCTGCCACAGCCAGGCACCCTGTGCTGATCCTGCCCCGGGCAGGGTCTGTCAGTCCTGGCACTGAATGAGCAGAGAGGCAGGAGACAAAGCAGGGAGCTGTCCCTGCCAGCTGGGCACATTTGTGCCAGAACACTGTCTCTCGTGGTTTCCTGGTGTCTTCTGGGGTTTTCCGTTGAGGTATGGTGAATCGGGGGACTATAAAAGGAGGTTTTAAGGTTGTCTCAGGTAAGTCATCTCAGTGATTTGGTTTTTTCCTAGGAATAGGTTATACTGGACGGTAGTAGAGTAGTTGGGTATTTGGAAGGCAGGTAGGAAAACATAATATTAGAAAGTAATTTCCTAAGTTTCTAATAACTAATACCTAAATACCTAAAGCTGTGGTATGCAGGAAATGAAAGAAATCAAAGAAATCATTCCCCTGCTGTTGAGGAACTGAGAAAATATCCATCTGTTATGATGGTTTTTGTGCTTTCTGATGTGCAAACAGATATACCAGTACTGAGATTTGCAGAGGAACAGGCTCACATTTTTTCTAAAACACAGATCTTTCTAGATATTCTGGCATCTATGTCTCAGATGGGATGTATTTGGATTTTTGCTTCATTTTTTGGATTCAATTAAACAGTAAATCATCATCTCTTTTTGCTTCTTTCCCGGTTACTTTGATCATGGTGAATTAACAGAGGGTTGTTTGGTCTGTGTTTTAGTTTGACAAAATAGAGGCTGATCTGACTGTTTGAACTGCTTCACTACAAATGAAAATAAACTAAGAATTTCCTGAACACTGATTTCAGTAGCAGGAGCTCTACGAAGAGGAATCTTGTCCATTCTGTCAGACTAAGATGACTGTAAAAAGCTGTAGGTTTTTTATGGACTAGATTTAATCCCCAAATGTATTTTTGTAGTGTATACTTTGTAAAGTTTACAAAAAACTTTAATTTAAAGCAAACCCTTTAATTCTTAAGCTTTCCTGTGTAGCAAATACTTTGTGGCTAGATGAGAAACTGAATTTTCAGTATGTAATATGTAACATTTTCCTGAAACTGCTCCTTGTTTAGTGGCTGAGACTCTGTGCAGCCTAAGAAGGAAGGTTTGTGTCACTGTGAAATTAAAGTTAATTAATTAGTAAGTGATTGTAGATAAGAAGTAGGATGCCTGCTTCTGTGACTAGACTACAGTACACGAGATAAATACATACATTAGTAGGAATGCTGCTTTAGTGCCATGGGGGGAGCACTGATGGCAGTCCTGCAGCAGAGTTTGGGGTGCAGCAGTGGTGCCTGTGTTAATCTGCACTTACTGACTGGGACAGCATGGTACCTAAGCTGACACTTCAATAAGAACGTTTGTTGTAGTGGGTACTTTTCTCTGACTCGGAGTGGGTGCTTTTCCCTAGGGTGGTGCTTTGCAGCACTTCCTGAGTCCTTCCTGGGAGTTCACCCAGGTTCAGGTCTGAACGAGGCGGCCAGGCAGCCTTTCATCACTCTGCCTCTCTCCTGAGACTTGAACCATCACGGTTTTTCTCTCTTGTCTCTAGCTGTAAAGGACCCTACAGCTGTAGAAAGAGCAAACTTATTGAATATGGCTAAACTGAGTATCAAAGGCCTCATTGAGTCAGCGCTGAGCTTTGGCCGCACTCTGGATTCCGACTACCCCCCTCTGCAGCAGTTCTTCGTTGTCATGGAGCACTGCCTCAAGCACGGCTTGAAAGGTGTGGTAATGGCTCTACCTGCATATTTCTCATCCCAAATGTGTCATTTTTCTTCCTTTCTTTCTTGAATTAGGTAAAAAAAAGCGTCTTATGTTGCATTAAGAATTGAAAAATATGTAAATTGTCAGCTTTTATAACTAATAATATCATTCATTCTTCGTCACGTGTATTTCCACGTTTCCCAACTTTTTGTTTTCTACACCATTTGTTGTAAGTGGTCCAGGGATTACCTCAACTGCATGTATGTATTTAGTATATATTTTTAGCTAGACATCCTTTTTGTATTATTTTGTTCTAGCACATCAATTTTACATTCCCAGCAAAGTAAGTGGGAAGTTGGCTTTGGATACTGGTGAGCTGACCAGTGTGGAAGTTGGGAGTTATCTGGAAGCCTAGACTCAGCAGTTAACCCTTTTACACAACAGGTAGTAGGAAGAAAGCTACTGCAGTGATTTAAATTAATTCAGTTAATTAATTTTTCTTTTCATAGTAAGAAAATCCTTTCTAAGTTACAATAAAACCATCTGGGGTCCTCTGGAACTTGTGGAGAAATTATATCCAGAAGCCGAGGAAATAGCAGCAAGTGTCAGAGATTTGCCTGGCCTTAAGTAAGTACTACTGGGAAAAATACAGGAAAGTAAAGGACCTGATTAAGAATTTACAGGTGTCTCATGATTTCATTTCATATTAAGACTTTGAACAGCTAGCTTTGATACTGGGGGGAGCACAGGGGAGTCATGCTAGCTTTGCTTGTTCTGTACAAACCAGCCAAAAAGTAGTGTTTCTGTGTTCTTTTCTGATGCTCCTGGGAGAAAAGTTTCCTGAACGGTGGACAACAACGGTGCAAAAAGGAGCAGGTTGTGTGTCAATGCCTCTGCAGTCTAGAACTGCAGCAAACACTGAGTGCAGTCAGCAAAGGCTGTGTAAAACTGAAAGGTGACAGACCAGAGAGGAAAGAATTGGGCAGCTTTTCATGTTCTTGTGTGCAGGGTCCTACTCAAATATAAATTTATGCTGTGAGCTACAATCTCCTCCTATTCCACTGCACTCTGCTTTTGTATATAAGTTGATAATTGGCTGCACATGAAATTCCAAAAAGGTTTGTTTGTGCTGTGATTGGGATGTGGCAGTGTAAGGGTTATAATGCATAGCTTTAGAACTCACCTAAAGCACTTAGGCATATAAATTGTTATTTGTTCTTGGGCCAGATGAAATAATACCCTTTGCCAGCATGTTATTCTCCTGCTATCCAGATAGAGCTTGTGTGGAGCTTTTTGCATTTATGTGCCTACCACTTCTAAGTGTGCAGGCACTAGGAGAGGAAGAGCTAAAGGTCCAGATTTAATTTGTTGGATATTCATGTTTGCCCTTTACATACATTTTCACCTTTTTTGCCTTGCTTTCCTAAGAAGGCACAGAATTTGTACACAGGTGTAAGTTAAAGCTACAATTCAGTCCGTGTTCAGACCCAGAGAACAGGATTGGGAAGGCAGGCTGGCATGGGGAGTTGTGATGGGCCTTCTGTTACTCTTCTTGCAGTTCCTCTGAAAACTTTATAAACAAATTGCAGAAAGGAGCCTGAACTGTTGCAAACATTTTACTTCAGCAGGAAACAGGACTTTCAAGATTATCAGGCTCTTGTGCTTTCTCTAGTCCTGTTCTTTCCAGGATCTGCTCCCGAGCTCAGCTGAGTAGATGAAAATTTTTCTGTTACCCCAAAACTGGGAGTCAAAGCCTGGGCATTGTGGCTTCCCAGACTGTGATGCTCAACAGTTTAAAATACCGCTCCAGAAATACCAGTTGCTCTCCCAGAATACCAATAAGATGTTACAGACCATGAATTAATCAACATATTATTAATTTGGGGCCGTTTGTGTTGATGCCCTTTGTTTCAGGACGCCGCTGGGCCGTGCCCGGGCCTGGCTGCGGTTGGCACTGATGCAAAAGAAAATGGCCGATTATCTTCGCTGTTTGATCATCCAGAGAGATCTCCTCAGGTAAACAACCCGTTAGATTTTGGGTTTGAACTTCTTTTTAGAGGGTTAGTCTCCTTAAAAAAAAAAACAATTATGCATTCCTCCACCACGCAGAATAAGGACTAAAAACCTCTGGAGTTCATCTGATTTTCAGTGCTATAAGCTGTCCATATTTTTCAGACTAGTTTTGTATGCCTAGCTAATGCTGCCATGTCAGGATGTCGTTTTGCTGTTCAATAGCTGTGGACTTTTCCATTGAAAACACAGTTTGTCATATAGAATCTAAAACTTTCTTTAAAAAGTACAAGGAGGAGAAGGTGCTGGTGTGCTGTCGTTTAGTGAAGTATTTTTATTTTAAGAACCTTTTTAGCATTTCAGCCCTTTATGTTTGCCTTTTACAAATTTAATCTCATCCTTGGCTTCTTGAATTTCAAGCGTGTATTCATTAAAGTCCAGTCATTTTTTCACACAAGGTAATTTTTTTACCATTCTTCTTTTGCCTTGCATTGCAGTGCTTCTTAACAACATGAGAGTTGTCTGAGTCAGTGTGGCCAGACATCCATCTGTTGTAGTATCCTGTTCAAAAATGGCTGATAGCAAATGTGTACAGAAGAGCCTTTTCTGGTTTGGTTTAGTTTGTTTTTTAAGGCAAATAAAACCTTGCCCTCAGCCATCCCAACCATCCAGCAACTTGTGGCTCAGATTTCTGGAGCCAAAGGGAGTATCTTAGTTTATAATAGCCTCTGATACAAACCACGCACTTGGAATTTATGAGGTGGAAGTATGGGCAGGCCCAGTTCATCTTGAAGGATGTTGTAAGGAAGGCTACAGTAAGAGAAACAATTCAAATTTGTATGTCACTTATTATTAATTTATTGGATGTATATATAGGGAATACACCAATAAGATGCAATTTTCTTCTTTAACAGTGAATTTTATGAGTATCACGCACTGATGATGGAGGAAGAAGGAGCAGTAATTGTTGGGCTGTTGGTTGGGTTAAATGTGATAGATGCCAACCTGTGTGTGAAGGGAGAAGACCTGGATTCACAAGTAAGTCAACACAGGTAAAGGAATGTATGTGCAATCCATAGGATGTTTACGTCCAGTGAATTTTTTCACTATGGAGTTGTGATTTGTTAGAAATCTTACCAGAGACTGTTCAGGGTGTGATGATCCAGCCCCTGGGGCCATGGGGCTGTTGAATTAACCTCATATCAGGTGGGTCAGGCCTTTGGATGGTGGTGATTGTCAGAGTGCAAGGGTGCAGGGTTATGCTTTGTCGTCACATGGATGCAATAGTAACAAGGCAGAGTTGTTTCCATCCTCACTGTGTAACTCATCCTTCTCCTCTGGAGGATGTTCCCTGATCAGTTTATCCTGCTTGGTTCATTTATTGCCTTTCTGGAACATAATAGGAATGATACAAGGACCTGGAACAAAAACTCTCTTTGCATAACAACCTTATGAGAGGTGGGACTACTTTCAGTCTTCAAAACAAGACTTGGAATTCTTTCTGCTTTGCGACGAGCTTTGACTTTGAATTTCAATCTTTTCCAAGGAAATCTTAACACATTCCCTTGAAGGCAGATGCACAAGTATTTGCCAATAAATGTAGACTGTGTTCAGTCCTGAGGATTTTTTCAGCTTCTTTGTGGAAAGAATCTTAATAGTTTAAGTGATTATTGCTGTATTGCAGCACATATTTGATGAAAAACAATTCCTCTGGGAAAGAAAACTTATAGCTAACTGGATATGTGTGTTGTTGGATCAAAGGGTTAACTTGTCCTTGATTGTTTGTTCTGGTTACCATCTAATATTAGTTTTAGACACCCATCTTGTGTAAAAGAAGATCTAACACTGGAAGGCCTGTAATTATAAAAAACTTACCAACTTGCTCTTGGTATTGAGAATGAAATGCCTGTACTGTAAATCCCCAAACCCGTTACCAGCTGCACCTCTGGGTCACTTGGTGGCCTTGCTGTGTGAGGGGAGGTAAAGCTTCATTTGAGAAGGTAGAAGTGGCTGTGCAGATGAGATTCTGTTTGCAACTTGTCCAGATGTGACATTTATAAAGTGTCCAGAGTAATTCTGTTAGTGAAGAGTGGTATAAATAAGGCACCTTCGCAGAGAAGCCAGAAGCAGCAAGTTGTGTTGAGCAGAAAGACAAAACTTTTGGAGGTTGATGAAAGTCACAGCCAGGAGCAGTTTTGGCATGTTAAAAGAATGCTGTTCAGTGGTGAAATGTGCCTGTGCACACATGGAGAACTAAAATAAAGCAACTTTTATAGAGAGAACATTTTACCTTTTTTTTAATAGAGGTAGTGCTTGGCTTTAAGAAACAAAATACATTTTAAAAAAGCTTTCGGAGAAGAGACTTTTTAGCAAAGACATGGAAAGAACAAGTAGAAGACCATCACAGGATACTGACTGTATTGTATAAAACAAGTAAATGTTAGACTTAGCAAGTATCCAAAAGCTAAAGAGAGCTCCAGAAAAGAGCAGTAGATCAGAGAAATGGAAATACTTTTGTGAAAAGGCTGCTAGAGACCAAAAAGGAAGGGGTTTGGTAAAGCAAACGTGGTTCAATACTTTTGTTAGACATTCATGAATAGAGCTGGAAGCAGAACTCGTGGCAGTGTTAAATATATAGTATATATGATTAAATTACAATTGAATACGAAATAAATTAATTAGATTCGGATTTGGAAAAGGTTAAAAAAATGAATGCAGTTGATTTGTCCCCCTTGGGAATCAGCAGTTGTGGAGAGGTGGTATTATTTTGACAAGGAATATTGTAAAACAAAACATGGGGGGTAACATCAGTTTGGGAGGTGTGCTGTGACAGGGAATCATGTGAAACACTAATCAGCCAGGGATAGGGCTGTGGAGTATCTGGTAATTCCCTAAATGAAAGTTTCCTCTAAGCTTGTGGCTAAGCTCAGTCAGAGGAATAAGTCATCTTTTCTTTGGAATTTGGTACATGGCACATTGTTAATTTTATTCAGGTGTAACATAATTCTTAGTAAATATGGAATCTACACTTAAAAAAAAAAAAGAATCTCGTTTAAAATGGTATAGTTCAGGTTTTGAGCTGAAACTGGACCAATCTCAAGGCTGTAAATATCAGCAGTTATTTGCATGATATGAAACTGTACCTTTGCTTTCCACTAGGTTGGGGTGATTGATTTCTCTGTGTATTTGAAGAGTGATGATGACATCGGGGGTAAAGAAAGGTATGTCCTCACCAAATACCTCTGATTTTGCATATTAACAAATGATTTCTTGAGTGGGGCCCTGTCCTTTGTAGAAATAAGTCAGGTTCCCTAGAAATGAAATCTTCTGATTTCAGTCTCGAGCAAAATGGCATCCTAAATTGTTTTGTATGATTGGTTAGCTGGAAGAACATTTGCACTCTGGAGCAAACTCCAGCAGCATCACCTACTGCTTTTACCTGCTAGACAGTACTGGAGGATTGCAGGGTGGCAGTGAAAAGGAACCTGCAGACCTCTAAGCCCTCAGCTTGGGGTTTAGTCATTGTTTCAAAGAACCAGAGTTATGGCAGAGTAAATAATCATCCTTTTTCTTTTCAGACTGTGTGTGTTCTTAGGCTTCATATACAGGAATTGTTTGCAGTTAAAGCACTGGATTTCTTTCTCTCTTACTGCTATCACAATGTGTTCATGGCTGTGAGATGAAGTTGCTTCCTTTCTTTTTAAGAACACAGTTAAGGTGGACATTTGCATATGGTAGATGTGCATATTTTCAGAAACTGGTTCAATACATCATTTTGTTAAAGCTAGTTTCATTTTGTGCTTGCTTTAGAGATGTTCAGATTGCTGCAATATTGGACCAAAAGAATTATGTTGAAGAACTAAACAGGCAACTGAAGTAAGTATTACTTAGAAGTGTGTGTGTCAGGGCAGGCTTACAGGGAAATTCCTGTTGCACCACAGCTTTGGGAAAGAACTCCAAGAAAGAGGTGCAAGTTCTTGATGTTTAAGCTGAGGATTTAGTGGAGTAGGAAAGGACACTCTCCAGGGAAGGCTCAGGAAGTGTGAGTTTTCATGCTTTTCGTTTTGGCAGTCAGAACCTTTATTTTTTCAAAGAAGCAAAAAACAGCAGGCCAAAGCTGATGAAGGTCCTCACAGTTCGTAACTTCGCAGGTACAAGGAGCTTGGTCTGGATTCGAGCTGGATTTGAGTGTTCTGGGTGAATCCACGTGTTTTTGTTTCTCTGCCTTTCAGAACATTTTAGTTTGTAGCTTTAACACCTAGGGCTGAAACTAAGTTCAGTGCTTGCTGGAAGCTACTTGTAGGTTGTGGTTCCTGTAGAGACAGTTTTCAGGAAAGCAGCATTTCCCCCTTACTTTGCATGATGGAACAAGCCCAGTCCACCACTGTGTTGGGTACTGTGCAAACACAGGAGCAGTGATTTTAATTCCCTGAGGAGAACTGTACAAAATTAAACAGTGTGAGGAGCTTAAAAGGGAAAAAAACCCCAATAAACCAAACCAAACAAACCCACAAAGTAGAGTACATAGCGCAGCTAATCTTGTTCCCTTTTTGAAATGTATTTTTAATTTTTGAATGCTGGTAGTCTTGATCATTAGTTACTGTTGGAGTAGAGATAGTCTGGTTTGAAATGGTGTTTTGTTTTCCTGTGTGTGAAGTGCAATGTAAAAAACACGTGCTTCCAGCAGAAACAGGCAGTCAGGTTATGGAAAAGGCCTGGCTGTAGTTTGATACTGTAAAAAACAAGAGTAATAAAAGGGAATAAAATTCTGATGAGACTCCTAAATGAAATCAAGAAGCATCAAGAAGGAGAGAGTCTCAGAACAAATCTCAAAAAAATCAATGATTTTATAAAAGAAATGTGTTTTAGAGGAAGAGAACCTGGAGGGTGGTTTTGTTTTATAGGGGAAAATAACATGGAGATTGTAAACTCTTTGTAAACGCAGGGATTTTCCTTGAAGGGAAAGCGTCTTTTGGATGCTTTGGATATTGTTGTGAGGATAAAGGAAAGAGAGAATACGTGTGAAGTTGTAGCCAACCAGGACTTTAAGTGACAGGGATGACACTGAGAATTGTAAAGAAGTATAAAAATATTCAACAAAGGAGAGTAATTTTCTTATATTTAGGGAAACCTCAGATAACGGGAGCAGACCTTTTAGCTCTTAACCATTAATCCCTGTACCTTACATTAAAGTTTTTGTGCTTGGTTGGCTGAGTTTTGCTGTAATTTTGAATACCATTTTTTCTTTTTCCCTCTCAGTAGCACAGTCAGCAGCCTCCATGCAAGGGTTGATTCACTGGAGAAATCAAACACTAAACTGATCGAAGAGGTATTGTTTTCTTTTGGGAATGTATAACGTATTATTTACTCTCAAAGGCTGTTTCGCTAAATGTATTATTCTATGTAAGTTTTGTATAATGGGTTCAGATACCTTTATTTTGCACTAGAGGAAAGGTGCAGTAGCTGCAGGGATTTGAAGCCAGCTTGCCTAGGTAGCCTGTAGCATCGGGAAATTAATTCTGGGTGACATTGCAGTTTCCAACTTTTGGACAAAACGAGAAGAGAATCCTTTCCTAATGCCAGCTGTCAGTCTGATTTTGTGCAGATGACTAGTCCAGAATGGATGGCACCAGTTGCTACAGAGAGACAGAAAGCAGTTCACTGAGCAATTTCTGTTACTCAGCTTTAGCCAAAGGATTGTTTCTTACTCGTTTGCTGTATGCCTATATAGAGCTTTTAGACTTGTCTAGTTCTGGTTTTATATTTATATCCTTTATTTCTCCTTATCTTTGATGCTTGACTAGATTCCAATGTTTTTATCTTTGTAAGACACAACATCTTTTTTTTTTTTTTTTTAAGTCCAAGCTACTTGAGAAATGGTTAATGAAGTGGAAAATTGAAAACTCTAAATTCAGCTTGTGGGAGGGACTCGAGGTGTAATGTATCCACACAGAGGGAAGACATTGTTTCTGAGTGTTAATTCTCAGAGTATTCTGGGTCCTTTACAATCCCTCAGCCCAGCTCTCACCTAGTTTGATCATTTGGCTTATAATTCTGATGTTAAGGTATATACTGTAGGGCCCAGTTATCAAGTGTCATCTTCTGTAAATATGTTTGCTTTTCATCTGGGGGAGGCTCTCCTATGTAAATTGCTCCATTTGATACATTAAGATGTCCAAAAAAAGAGAATAAAACTGGATGAACTTGAAGTCAAATGGAAACAAAAAATTGAGGATGAGGAAGGGGAGCTGGGGGTCTTTAAGTCCTAATGAAGCAAGGAAAAGAAAGCATGTTCTTTGCCAGACATGGAATAATGAAGTATCTTGAATACTCGTGCTGCTGTATAATGAAAGTGACTCAGGACTGAAACCAGGAGCTTTGTTTTCTTCAAAACAATTAATCCTCTGTTTGGTAGGTGAGAATAGAGCAGAGGATGTCTTGGTCTTGCATTCATCAGAACATTTTTCCCTTTATTTCTACTCACAGTAGTGGTCACACTGCTTTGCTTTTTTTTGTTTGTTTGTTTGTTTTTTCTTTTCAGTTAGCGATAGCTAAAAACAATATAATTAAACTCCAGGAAGAAAACCATCAATTAAGGAGTGAAAATACTCTGATTTTAATGAAAACCCAGCATCATCTAGAGGTATGTTGGTTTCACCACATTTAACATCGTGACGTTGTGTTTGTACATCTCAGCCTGAAGTGAGCTGTGATGTGTCCAAATCTGAAACAACTTTCATCAGGGAAAGGACCTATTAGAAGACAATACTGTGTGAAAGTCTTGTCAAAATAGGCTGTGTTTTAGTTGGCAGACTGTCTGTTTTGGCCTGTCTCGTTGTATCTGGAGTCATTGTGTGTCCAACTGCTAAACTTGACTTTCCAACTGTGATTTGCAGCTCCTTCTGTGACTCCTCATACGTGTTTCCCAGGATGATGGGTAAAAGCCCAGGTTAAGCAGATATTTGGATTGCTCAGTACTGAAACAGTTGTGTGTTCAACTGACACTGAAGGAGGACAGTGCTGCAGTATAGATGTTCCTTTTGCTACCTTTACTCAATTCTCATTGTGAAACTCATGGTCACGGGGCAGGAACAGCTCTCTCCGTGTCTGTGCTGTGCTTGGATAATGCATTTATCACCTTGATTTTGTTGCCCCTGAATCTCTGCTATTAATTGCTGTACTTGTGATGGAGAAAGACTCTCTGTATCTTTGTAGGCAACTAAAGTGGATGTTGAAGCAGAACTTCAGACCTACAAACACTCCAGGCAGGGTCTGGATGAGATGTACAGTGAAGCTCGCAGGCAGCTTCGGGAGGAGTCCCAGCTTCGGCAGGTGAGTCTTGCTGCCTGTGATAAAAAGAGGTTTTTAACAGAGCAATCAGCACATCAGTATTTCTGTAATAATGTTGCTGAAGAATAGTAGAGAAAGAATATTTTTCTTTGAGAAATTTTAGGTTAAGTTGTTAGCAATACTGCGTGCTCTGTGTCTGTGCTAAATATAAATACTTTAGTTCTGGTTTTGTAATTAATACTGAGGCAACTCTGTGCAGCACTGACAGGGTAATTTTTTGTCACGTGAATTGTCTTCCCCTGAAGTTAAAAAAAACCCATTGGTCATTAAGTATATGAGTGTAACATTTATGTAGTGGATGATTTGCAAAATGAAAGAGGGGCAGAATTTCAGAAGGGGTGAAATAGGTGGTGCTGCTGCTCTGTTCGAGTTGGCTTCCCGGGGTTTTTTCAAGACAGAGTGTTACATAGTTACATACTTAGTCTGTGTTGCACTGTGCTTGTGTTTCGTAGGATATGGAGAATGAGCTGGTGGTTCAAGTCAGTATGAAACACGAGATAGAGCTTGCCATGAAGTTGCTGGAGAAGGATATCCATGAGAAGCAGGATACCCTCATCGGCCTGCGCCAGCAGCTTGATGAAGTTAAAGCAATTAACATGGAAATGTACCAAAAGCTGCAGGTAAAACTGCTGCAGACAAAGCAAGTGAGAGAAATGCATTGCCATTCTGGTCAGTCAAATGTGCTGTTCCTTTGGGGTTTGGTTCCCTTGCGCTTCTTAGGTCAGTGGGACATTTTGGAACATTGCTTGTGCAAACATGGCTTCACACAAAGTTCTGAAGGCAGCCACTGGGTGTGTTTATAGAAGAAAAGAGCGTAGGGATAAGATCATGGCCTAATAACATGCTGTGTGAAAGAGAGAGAGTAATAGTGCCTCTGTATAATGACTTTTTTTTGACCTGTGTTGTATTAAAAAAACAAAAGGCACATAGTGAGGAGTTGAAGACCTGACCTTTCCAAGTAAGAAAAGGAAGACAAGACTGTGTTAAGTAGAAAAAAGTAATTACAGTTTTGGGGGATTTTTTAGTTTTTTTCATTTTTTTTTTATCTGTCAACAAATTAAGAAAATCTGTTACAATGCAATGCCTTTTTGGGAGAATTTGGGTCTCAGAGTGCAGTGAACAGATAACAAAAACACTGGGGAAGTTTACCAGTGAATTATTAATGCAGAACATTACTTTGATTTATGGAATAAATTATCAAAACCAGCACAAGAAACCAGTCAAATCTGTGGCAGAATGAGGGGAAAAAAATCAGGATGCTGCAAAAAGATAATTGAGGTGCTGGACAAAAGATGCTACTTTTCCATCTGCAACTGTGAGGAAACTGGACCAGAGAAAAAGAAATATAAATAGAGCTGGAAAGAAAAATGAGAAGAGATTGTTCTCCAGTGTGAGGGTCTGTGGGGTTTGGATCTGTCGGAGAACCTTAGTGATTTTCAGGACTAAGCATCCTGACTGTTTACTGTTAAGGTTCTAATGGGCTACTGATCAGTGAATTTAAGTTGACTTCCAAAATAATTAACTAAGAAAGGAAACCAAAGGGAAACATTTTTGCTTAAAAAATAGCATCACTCACAGAGCACAAAACTACAGATTTGCCAGGCATAGAATGTTAAGTACTTGTCAGCAAGGGTTTTTAGAAGGTAATGCTTAAAATAATTAAAACATGAAGTCATTGCAAGTTTTCCCCTTCAGATACTGAAGAAAAAGCCCCCACGAGGTAGCAGTGCAAAATACACCAACTTCAGTTTTGACCTTTTTTGTAACACAGGTTTCTGAAGATGCTATGAAAGAAAAGAGTGAAATAATTAGTCGATTAGAGGATAAGACCAATCAAATTAATGCAGCTATGAAACAACTAGAACAAAGGTACAGCCCCATCTCTGTTTCTCTCCGTTCATCACTCCATCCCCTCACGTTTTACTGCATTCCTACACAGCTGCCACTGAAATGTAGCTCTCAAGTAGAACGTTTAAAATGAACCTTTCTGAAACTTCACCTAGCGCTTTGCCCTTGGATCTTTTTTTTTCTGTTTAACAAATACAACTTCCTTGAAACACAAACTTGATCTTTCAGTTTTCTCCCTCCACCATCTTTCTTCTGGTCCTAGGTTTTTGTGCTGATATCAAAAGCTGTTCTTTCAGTTGTTTCAAAATTACGATTCATTATTACCTATTTTTTCCCCCACCTGAATGAAATGCAATAGAAACTGAAGCATTAATCTTGCTTGTACTTAAGCATGTGCTTAATATAAGCATTTAATGCCTTCAAGGATCACTGGTGTATTTACTGAAGCTGTTACAATTTTCTCCATTGCTTTGGAAGTGCCATTATTTTCAATGACCTAATGAGTTTTCACACTGGAAGGTTGAAAAGTGAAAGACTAAAAGTCCAGAATATAAATTTACATTACAGTTAGACTGCATGTACTACATGATATAATATGACTCATATGTTTTAATTTAGTGGCCTTATATGCAACATTGATCTTTTTAATTGTAAAATATAACATATCCATGAGCCCTGTCATGTTGGTGTTTGACATGTCTTTTTTTTCATTTAAATCTGATTATGAAAAACATGTATTAAAAAAAAATTAGTGACATGAATATTCTTTTATTGACATCCTTTTTTCTTCTTTTTTCTTTTTCTTTTTATCCTTTATCCCAATTTTTGTTTTTAATGTTTTGCTGCCTTCATCTGTCTTTGATTTTTGTCCACTGCATTCGTGAAGTGACAAAGATCTGTTAACTCAAACTAGGACTATTGCAATGTCATTCGTCAAATGTGCCAGCAATGAAGCTCAGCACCAGTATAAGCTTGTCAAGGATATATCATTCTGAAAGCTCCTCCTCATCTGCTGGGTTGAAGTAGTTACTGATAAAATAGACCTTCAGAACTTTAGAATTCAGACTTTAAAGTGGTATTAGAAATCCTGCACTGTAACTGGTCGTAGCTGGGTTCTGTTTTGTTTTCTGAAAGAACATCACCTCCGATCTCACTTATCCCTCTTAAAAAAACAGTAAATTACTGCACTATTACTAAGCAAACGGGAGCTAGTTTTCTAATGCTATTTAATCACTTCTTAGTTGTCAAACAAAGTTTATTGTAGGAGGTTAAATACCTTTTCCCCTGCTTACTGCTTTCAGTTGTAGGCTGTATTTAAACCCAAAGCGGGCTCTCTGTTGGGTGTTGTGGTTGTAACGAGCACTGTTTTACACAGAGTGACAGGAGTTTAGGGAAGAGGAGCTGAGTGTTCTGTCAGAACAACGTGTGTGAGAAAAGAGGGTGCTGCCAACATGTGTAATCTGTATGTGCAGTGAAAGAATGACAGGGTTTGGGGATAAAACAGCTAAAGCACAATTCCATTTTGCTGATGTCACGTGGTGAAATATTTTCATGGAGCCTGACTTGGGTGGGACTCCAGACAGGAGGGACAGTAAATCCTGTAGCTGTGCCTCCTGCCCAGAGCAGCTGCACCCTGCTGGCTGCCGGGAAAGGTGCAGTGGTAAATAGGGTTTAGGGTTAGGGCCCAGCCCCTGAACTTGTCCAGCTGGTTTGTCAGCGGAGGATCTGCCTGGCTGCGTCTGCACATCAACACCCCAACAGCCGTGGGAGTGCCCAAAGCCTTTTCCTTCCCTCCACCCACCACTAGGCTGCCTTTACAACTCGAATTTCTGCTGTGAGTTGCTGCTTGGCTGCACTGCAGAAATAAGAGAGTTTAACCACCTGACTGCCCCTGATACACTTCCTGATGTTTGCTCTGAAATTTGTAGTACAAGTTGACTGGGAAAGTCATCTTCAGGTCTTTCAGCAGAAGGGGATGTGTTTGCAAAAGTGGGCAGGACACAATAATACAGAAAGGTTTCTACTCCATGGCTGTATGCTGCCTTATTCCTTAGTTTGGAGTCAGAAAGAGCCTGTAACATGGGCTGGCTACTGAAAAATAAAAGTAAATATCTTCCATCCTCAAAGGAAACCCAAACCACAAGCACTGACTAGACCAGGGGGTGGACCATAGCAGGAATGGGAGCATTGTCCATCTGACAGTCTGTGCAGAGAAGTGTCTGCCCCAGTACCATCTGAGTGGCCAATCCAGCTGGGGCCAGCTCAGCCTCTGAGTGAGTGAATGCCAGCAGTGCAGGTAGGCCCAGCACCTGGGGGACGGGGCTGCAGCTTTTGGGCAGCAGGTCCCCTTCTGCCTTGCTTGTGGAAACTACACTGGAGTAGATTTTGTGATTTAGGGCAGGATTTAACTCACTGTTGGTGTTAATGTCCTGTGTAGCTTCATTTAGCTTCTGCACAGCGAACTGACCTGCTTTTCCCCAGTATTCTCCTTGGCATGTTTTGGCCCTCTGTGCACTACCATTGCAAGTATGACTGGGAGCATCATTCTCAACCCCCCTGGGACAGCTGAGATAGTGCACACTGGATAAGATTAATTCCAGCCTTTGTTCACTTGTTTACTGGCAGCTTTTGCAAACTCCTGCTGGTGCATCAGCAGAAGCCCAGAGGCAAACATATTGCTGACTTACCTCTTTTTAGCTGACACTGGAGTTGAGTTGCTCTGTGTTCAGGTAGCTGCTGAAATTGAGAAATCAAGCATCTCTCAGATTTCTCCCACCACTTACCTGAGAGACCCTTAAACAGTTTTGCTAAATGGGATGCAGCAGGTGGGGACATTCAGTGGTCCTTCACAGGCTCTCCCACTCTCCTGCCTTTTCATCCAGGCAGGGGTAGCCTGATGCAGCACAAGTCCCATTTTAGTACATTCCCTTTGGTTACATTACATCCATCTTTTTTTTTTTGCACTAAAGAGGTGACCAAGCAGGGAGGGCCCACAGTGAAGTAATGGATTCCAAGGGGAGTGGTAGCTGAAGCAGGCACAAACCCCTGGAATTCAGTAAGGAAAGATTAAATAAAAAAACCAATCCCTCATTTCTTGATGAATCGTTTTTATTTGTCTATAATATGGAGCTATTTTAACCAGTGTAAGAATGCATTATTTTTAATACAGATTATTTAAATTAATTTAAGAATATGATGTGGTTGAAATAGTTCTATAAGTGTAGTGGGACCTGTCAGGGTGTACTTTGATGTCTTAGGCTAGTTAAGTTTTTTGCTGTCTGACTGCAGTGCTCTGTATTCAGCCTTAAGCCTCAATTGTTTTGAGCTGCTTTTGCACAACACATGCTCTGCCCCCTCTTAATGGGTGACTAGTGTGAGCCAAGTACTTCTACAGGATTTATTTGGGGGGGAAAAAAAAAGCTTCAAAAAATACCACGTGAAGGAATGCTAAAGGAAAAAGAAAAGCATCAAGTTCTGTGCTTCAATTCAAACTCTGTATCATCATGCTTTGGCACCTGTTATTCATGAGCAGAAAATAAAGCAGTGATTGCTGACAGTGCTTGCTCTCTGACTGGGAAAAGCCACGGGCTAGTTCTCTAGGCATTGGATGGATTTCTCGTTTGAGTTTGTGAGTTTCCCCCAGGCTTTGTTTTTATTTAGAAATGTTTCTATTTCCCCATTTTTCTTTTATTTGTCTTCTTCACCCTCTACACCCTAATTCTAGCTTCAGTTTTACCCAAAGTTGATTTGAATTACACCAGATTGCAGCAAGCAGAGAAGGCCCAAATGGAGGCTGAGGCCGAGGATGAGAAACTTAAGCAGGAATATGTGAATAAATCTGAAAGTCTGCAGAAGGAATTCTCCCAGAAGGAGAAACAGCTGTGAGTATGTCTTTGCTGTTTGGAAAAACACATGGCAGTAAACATTCTACATGGCAATATGTCCTGTGTCCTGATCCAGGCTGGTTGTTGAGAAATGGTTTTGAACAGAATGTAAATACTAAAGATCTTAATGTGAGGTACTGGCAATGCAGGAGAAAATATGCCATTCCAGGAAAGTCAAGCTGGCTTTGAGTGCCTCTAAAATGATGTACAGCTTGAAAGGAAGGGGAAGAACAGTATTATTTTTCTGTCTAAAAGTGCCAGCTTAATTCATGAGGGAATTATCCTAAGTGGGGGAAAATACATAGTGTAGTAGTAGTAGTAATACACACTCTTAACAAAACCCACAAGCGTGGAGTAGGATAAACTTAAACAGAAGTGGCATAAGAATAGTTTGGTTGATCTGCTTGTGAATAAGGCAGAAGTGGTTTAACTTACCACTGCACAGGAAATAAAAAAATAAAAATTCACCAGAGTCATAAAAGTTAAAAAGTAATGTAAAAGCCAACCCTTTAGTCTTTCTCCTGTTAAATCATTCAGTACTAATTTAAAGAAATATGTAATGCTAAAAGCTACCTGTAAGGGCAGGTATTTTCCCTGTTTGAGAAGATAACACATTGATTATTGAAGTAAATCTGTGGCTTAAAATTCAGTGATTTGCAATCCCATTATTAGCCCCCCCTCCACCTCTCTCACAGCTCTGAGTGTTAATACACTTGTTGAACTGTCATGATAAATGTTCACTTTACTACCACAGTCGTCTCTGCAGATTTGGGCAAAAGAACAGTTCAGACCCCAGGCTTAGAATTCTGCAATTGTGAAACCCCCAGGTCACGGTTACTTCTTTTTCAGCCAGATGCTGAGGTAGTGTCCCAAAATGTAAGTCTTTCCTTTGAAAGTGGTTTTGGTTTTAAACCAGGAAAATTAATGTGGATACAGGTTTTCCATCAGAAGACCTTGCATGAATACTCTGAGATTTTTCTCCTCTTTTTGTGTTGGCACAGTTTAGATCTGCAAGGTTTGAACAGTGTGCTTCCACCCTTTGGTTTCTCCATAACACTCTAAACACCAAGTCTTCCATGAAACTGATAGTAAAATTCCAGCTGGAATGGACCTTCCATCAGAGTAGCCCTAATTCCTTTAACTGACCTTCTGTTAAACTAACAGAATCCATTTCCCTCTTTGTGTTGAACCTCAGTTATGTAGAAAGCTCAATAAAAATAGGAATTTAAAGTCCGTGCTCCTTTATTTTCAATTCTGTTCAAAATGCCATAAAATGTCTAAAATAGAAAATTCACATTTACAGGTGTAAAATTAAATAACTTTTATGTGTACCAGAGACATCTGCAACCATTGTGGCAGATTGGGTTGGTTTATTTTAGAAACAAGCTGTTTAAGGTTAAGAGGGCTTTCACTTATGCATGCTTTAAAAATACTTCAGAATTTTGTGGTTAGTCTTCTCTTACTCATTTATATCAAAGGTCAACTCTTCAAAATTATGCCATATTCTTGGTACTTTAAACACACTTATTTTTAAAAGCATTCTCTAAGTGACAATGCTTTGTTTACTGCACCGATACATAAAATATTGTTATGTCGATTCATTATTTCTGTTTGGGAGAACATGTAAGTTAATAATTTATTACCATAATCATCTATTGCACCCAGAAATAAACTCATTTTTGTTTTTAAAAATGATACTCTAGTGCACAGTGATGTTTTGTTTTGTTTTACATATTCTAGGCTTCAGCTGGAAACAGATTTGAAGATAGAAAAGGAGTGGCGGCAAACCTTGGAGGATGATCTTCAGAAGGAGAAGGAAACTGTATCTCATCTGAGAATAGAGACCCAAGAAATAATTAACCTTAAAAAAGTAAATTCTGCTGCAAAATTTGACTAGTAATTTAGACATTGCCTGCAAAGTTAATTATGAACTTTGACATGGTATTTTTAAGAATTTCTGCAAGTAGAAAAGGAAGATTAGATTAATGTATTCTCACAAATAGAATAAGGAAAAAAATGGGGGTTTTACTCTCCATTTAGCCCTCAGATCAGAGCTCAGTGCTTTGGTTTAATTGTGAGTGGTTGCTGTTCCAAGTTGAACTTGGAGCCCCAGCAGTGGGATGGATCACTCATTCCCTTGGCCTGCTCAGCACAGTCAGCTCTGGGCAGGAGCAGTTTTCTAGGCAGGGGGCAAATACAACCTGGGAAGAGTTTGGCTTCATTTTACTTTGTTTGTTTTGTTATAAGGAGTTCCTTAAACTTCAGGAAAAGAATAAGCAACTGAAAAGGATATGTGAAGACCAAGAAGCTGCTCTCCAAGAACTGGCATCCAAGCTGAGCGAGTAATTCCATTATTCGTGATGACTGTCATTATTGTCAGATAAACTCGAATTAAGAACAATAATCAGATGGTGCTCAAGTGTATTAGACTGTCTGTGACAATAATGTTGTTATTTTGGTAACTAACCAGTTAGGAGAAGTGAATATGTCTAGTTAGGTCAGGTCTGTTAATTTTTAATTTTGGCAGCTCTGGAATGTCCCTTTGGTCAGCTGGGATCCCCTGTCCTGGCTGTGTGCCCTCCAAACTTCCCATCACCCTCAGTCTCCTCCCCAGTGTGGCAGGACAGGGAGCAGGAAGGGCCTTGGGACTGTGTGTGCTCTGCTCAGCAATAACAAAAACATCTCCATTACCAGCCTGTGTTCAGCACAGATCCAAAGCACAGCCCCTCCCAGGCACTGTGAAGGCAATTCTCTGTCCCCCAGCCCAAAGCAGCCCAGTGCCCAGTGTGCAGAGGCTAAAAGGGGACATGGATGCCCTCTGGAATAGCTGGGGGGGTGTATCCTGGGGCTCAGGGGTGGGTGGGCTGGCACTGCGTGGCTGTGGGGAGGCCGCTCTCTCCATGCTGACACAGGGTGGGCTTGTCTCTTCTTCAGAGGACTTGGCTTAGAATTTTTTGAGGTTGAAACCAACTTTTTAAATTGTTAGACCGTGACTGACCATGTAGAAGTTTGAAATAGCATTATCTTATTCTTTAGATCAAAGCTGAAAATAGAAGATATAAAAGAAGCCAACAAAGCATTGCAGGTCAGTAGTACTTTGAGGAAAGAAAACTTTTTTTTTTAACTGTTCCTTTTGAAATCTTTAGTACCTCAAGCATGTTCTCTTTGCACCTATACTTGCTCTGTCTTGTCTCCTTTTGGGTTTGGGGTGTTTTGGAGCAGTCCTGTGCTGCTGTAGTGTCTTTGTGACATTACACTGGTCCCAGGGTACTGAGCAATTCAGGCAGTGAAGGTTCTGCTCTTGATTTGTCTTGTCCCCTGAAGCCCAAAGTTTAACTTCATTAGGTACATACAATTATGGTAATTTTTCCTCCAGGGCCAGGTTTGGTTGAAGGACAAAGAGGCCACACATTGCAAGATATGTGAAAAGGAATTTTCGCTTTCCAAAAGGAAGGTAAAACTTTTAATAAGATTTCTTCCAACATGTTTGTAACTATTATGAGAAAAAAAAGTTAATTATCTTAGAGGTGTGCCATGAAGTGTAAATGCTCAGGTGAATGCAGAGTTATTGTTGAGGTGTCTTTCTAGTTCTTTGATACATACGATGCAGCTGGGCCCTAATTTCAAAAGAAACGGTGTCTTTTGGTTAAGTGCCACAAAGGAATATTTTAAAACTTTAAAATTATTTAAGTACTTTGTGGAATCCTCATCTCAAACACATGTCAGCTCTGGCACTGTTACAATTTGACGTGTGGAAGTCTTTTTATGACATCTTTTTATACAGTGGAGTTAGAAAATGTGAGTTTATTGTCATTTTAAAGTAAAATGTGATGGTAATTTCCATGCTTTAATAATGTATGCAGGAATTTTCGTCTTACCTTTTTATGTTAAATCTCAATTTTGTACCTGACAGAAGCATCCACTGTTTGGAATCTCATTGCTCAGGCTGTATTTTTATACTGCAGAATATGTGCTTAATCCAGAGTTTGGGTGCAATCTGCAAAGCATATATATATAAATAAAAAAGTAATAAGGCCCTAGAAGTAATAAATGTATAAGGACCTAGACCACTGTGGTGCAATCCTAGATAAACATGATCTGTGTAGGATTGCATCATAATTTGGGACGTGGGTGAATTCCCTTTCGAAAGCTGATTCCGTGCTCAGACCCAAGAAGTAAAAGGGGCCACATTTCGGATTGCTCTGTGTATATTGTTTATTTTTCCAATTGCTGAGTACATTTCCATTGTAAATTTAAACTTTTAATCTTCTCCCCACTATTTAGCATCACTGTAGAAACTGTGGTGAGATCTTCTGCAATGCCTGTTCTGACAATGAGCTGCCTCTGCCCTCCTCACCAAGGCCTGTCCGGGTCTGTGACTCCTGCCACGCAATGCTCATACAGAGGTGCTCTTCTAACGTGCCCTAAGGTTGTGTCACTAGATATTTATTAGTTCTGGTGTTCAGCTCTTCCTGTAGAAAACCCAGCGCCACCTAAAGAATGTACAGCAGTATTTCCAGGCTTCCAGGTAAGCAGTGTAGAGTTGCAGTTTTGAGGTGCACTGGAGGAGTCACTTCTCTGCTTCCTCTTGAAACCAACAGAGAAAATGGGACCCAAATGTAAAAAATGCACATGTGGAAAAAAAAAAACCAAACAGATGAGGATGTTGGTCTAACAAATGGCTCAGCATCTCCTTTGGAGGAGGCAGGGCAGCTTATAGAGGAGATTCAGTGTTAACATTTGGTGGGTATTTTAGTTGTTGAGATGCTCTTCAAAAAGGTGATGCACTTCCCTGCTTTTACAGGCTAGTCTGCCACAAGTCCAACCTGATTCTGCCCCTCAGTGTGCCTGTGATATGTTGTTGTGTAGCAAAACCGTGCAGTAGCTCGTTTTCAATTGTTTTTTAAAAAAGTATGGCCATTAATGCAGTGCTCTGATAAGTTCTTGCCAAATACCATATTTGTTTACTTCCTCTTAATTACCAGGACTTGATGCATCCAGGAGTATTGCACTGACAGCTCTGCTCTGTGGAGTCACAGGTGGAAGGGGAGATTTTGTCAGGGAACAAGCAGTGCCTCGGGCACTTGCAGAAGGAAGGTGTGTTTGGGTGAATGATTTTTGCAGATGAACTGTTAATATGATGTATCTGTGTTTCCATCAAAAGAGAGCTGTCCATCACAAACCTTTTGCCTGACATTGTAACTCTGAACGCACCTCTGCATTATTTTCGTGCAAGTCATGCTCTCAGGCTGTCCGTGTAGTCAGTGTGTAGCTCTAGAAACCACCAGGACAGCCTGGGATTAAATACCAGGGACCACATCCTTTCTGTGTTGCACAGGAAAGTTCTTAGTTTGCCACCTTCTCCCTCAAACTTGCAGAGTTTGTTCCTAAACTTCATTTTTTTCCAGAGCACCTTTGAGCCCCCCCACTGTTGGCACTGACGAGCCCTCAGCAGAATTACCAGCCCGGGAGCTCCTTCAGCTGTGGGCTTGGACCATTCCTACTAACAGGAAAAGGGAGGCTTGGGAACAAGTCTTCTAGTTGTCCTTGCACTTTGTTTAGCTTAGCTTTGTCTCTGGGGATAGGGATTTAGTTAATATCCTAAAATCCAACATAGCTGTTCTTTCCAACACTCAATGTAGTTGCTTATGTAGCTTTTGTAAAGAAAAATGTTTCTAAAATGACCTGATGTAACTTTTTGTAAAATACCAAACAAATACTTGTAAATGTGTAAATAACTTTTGGAAAAAAAATAAATTTAATTGATCTGCAACTTAACTAAGGGAATAATGTCACTTTATTTAAATTTGTAATTGAGAGAATTGTATTTTATTTTATTATGGCTTGTTCATGATGCTTAGAAAAATTTTGCCTGTGCTGGGGAGTGGGGAGCTACCCTGCTAAAGACACAGTCAAGTGCTGCTCACGTGCCTCCTGAGAGTACTCCCAGAGCGTTTTCCAGTGGGCACCGGAGGCAGCAGAGGTTGATGTAGGACGTAGATGATGCTAATCTGTACTGCTTTAATAAGTAACTTCTCCAAAAGCATGCAACTGAACAGAAGTAATTTTAAAACAGGCAACTTTTTAAAGTGGATTTCCATAAGATACAATAAATTACATTTCTGTTACTTAACTGCCATCTTTTCCTCTCCTCTGTGCTACCCTCTTAGCAAGGGGAAAAGCGTGCAATTACTCAGATTGTTTTTACTGTCTCCAAGTAACATTTTTCCTTGAACAAACTGGTGAATGCTGACGTTCCCTTGCATTCAAACTACATACCTGGCCAGCTTTTAAGGTTTTTGGACCACACTATGACTAATGCTGTATCTTTGTGTTTCTGTAAAAGCCTGCTTTTAGATTGATTCTAAATCCTCCTCACGGAGCACAGGAAGAGCTGTGGGGTACCAAGAGGGCCTGTAACAGGATCAGAGGAGCCTTTTATTCCTCCTGGGAAATGAACTTCCTGCACTGGAGTGTCAGCAGGTACACAGAGAAAATATGCTCCTCCTCCTGCTGCTGCTGCTCCCCTCCCATGCACAGGGATCACAGGAGCTGCACCCACCTCCCCACGAAAGGGGGGTCACTTACCGTGTGGGCACCTGCTGCTTGGAAGGAAAGGGATTCCTGGCACCAGCAGCCGAGCACTGCAGCTCCCGGGGCTGGAACACACCTGTGCACAGCCATGAACCCTACAGCTGCCTGGGCAAGCCTTACTCACAGCTTTTCATCCCCACAATTCCTCTGCAATTTAAATGCTGCTCAGGTGAGGTGGAAGGTTCGTTGCTGAACGCTGCTCTTGTTCCAGGGTGAAGGGACGGGACAGGCCCGAGGGATTCACTGTCCAGCTCTGTGGGATTGTGCTCACCGGGGCTGATGCCAGAGTGCTCCTTGCAGATGGCCTGGTTGGAAAAACAGCTCAAAGCAGAGCCACCCTGCTCTCCAAAGGTGAGTCTTAGCAGGTGTCAGGTGTCCCCGAGGGAGGCACAGAGCTGGCAGGTTTTAAGTCCCCTGCTGTGCCCAGAAAAAATAGGCTTCCTTCAAGCACACGCTCTGCAGTAACACGGTTTTCCTGCAGCTGGATTAACTCTTGTCCTGACCACTGCCATTTAGGAACACCTCAGTGTTCTCAGCACGAGACCAAGAACCCCCTAGGTCTTAAGAGCACAGAGTTCCAATGGTTACAAACTCCTCTTCCCTCCCCTTCCTGGCCAAAACTATTCCAGTGCTTGGAAAGCTTCCTGTGCCAGTTACCCTTTCCAGCTCTTTCTTCCAGTCCCTTTGATCCCCAAACACATTCTCTAGTGAAATAAACTCCATTCTCCTCTCTCCCACAAGAAGACATTTATTACAGATATAACACAGTACTAGCAAAACAGGTGACAGACTTGCAATACCCAAGATCACATTTGACATTTTAAGGGAGGCATTGAGGACAAAGCAGTTAATTTGGGAGATCACACTGGCTCAGAAGAATAAATACCTTTTTCCATTACACATCAGGTATGTTAAGTGTCTTCAAACAATAGTTTCTTACATATCTTACATGTCACAAATGCACAGAAAGTTTTATTGATGTGTTTGGGTTGTGTGTTACTGAGTAAGTATTGGGCCTACAGATATTTTAGAGATCTTGGCTTCTAAGGAGCTCATCTGTAGAACAGCTTGGCAAATTTTGAGCAAATACAGACAAATCAGCTCTGAGCAGCAAAAAAAAGCTGAACCGTGTCTAAGTACAATAAATTCAAGAAAGATAAGAAGTCTAACTTGCTTCCAACTCCCCCACTCTTGCCGAAAGCATGTTAGTGAAAAAAAGACTAAGTAAAAAGCTTCCAAGTGTTTGACCTATGTCATGTTAACTAAAAGCTGTGCTAGTGTTTCAGTCTGCTTTGCAGGTTACATGTGTGAAGTGCAGGCTCTGGGGCTACAGCAAAGCATGGAAATAAACGTGGTGCTTGGCTCTGTGGAGGAGAAAGCAGAGGTACTGCTCGTTCACACAGGTGTGGAGCTGGTGGTGGTGGATGTGGCAGCAGAAGGAAGGCAGGCAGAACAATGACTTCCAGCCTCCACAGCTTCACGCTGTGGTGCAATTATTACATACAACTTATCAAAAGGGTTCAGGAAAGGCTTTAACCAAATAAACTAATCAATTCATCTATCTTTTTCCCCTTAAACAAGTGACTGTTTCAAATTTGTTCACTAGACCAAGATTACACAGAACTCAATCAGTGTTCATAGGAGTTACAATACAACCACCTTTATGGAACCATAGTACAACAACTTAAACTGACTGGTAGTCTTGAATATGTAATACATCCTTAGGAGTAACTAGTATAAAAAGTATCAACATCAGTGGTTTGAATATAAAAATTTATTTAAAGTCAGAGTATGCAACAAATAAAACCTACAGAAAACAGATTTTCCCATCACAATCTGTTGCTTACCAAATAATATTGTGAAAACACATTCCATCAGTCATTATAAAGTTCTTAAAATACAAAAGAAATTTAATTTTGTAAGAAAGTCTAGTAGACCAGAGACTGTTTCTTCCAGGGTGTTTTGCAGAAGCAAGGCTATCCTTCAATACATCCCACGCCATCCTCCTCCACCCATATTGCCTTGCCCATAGTATCCTCCACTATTTCCACTGCCACGACCTGCAAACAATTGACACAAGGTCATGCATACATACCTTGAAAAAAGAAAAAAATGGGATGGGTAATACAGCAATGACAACTTCCACTAATGCTACTCCAGCACCACTCCCTCAACCAGCAGCTGATGCAGCAGCACAATGTGTGAAGCCCCGAGTTCTTCACAGTTTAAATGATTTACTGCCCTCCTTCCCTTCTCCCAGCCCAAAGCCCACCCCCCTTCCCCAGCGTCTGCCAGCAGACAGGAGCAACCCTGTCCCAGCAAACATGGAGAACAGAGCTTGGACTTACTGTATCCGCCCAAGCCGTCGGGAGTTCCGTATCCGCCGCTGTAATTGCTACCCATTCCCATCCTGCCAACGGAGCCGTAACCCTGATCTGCAGAGCCAAAAGGGCACCATTACAAGCTTGGAACTCATGAGACCTGGCAAAACATCAGCTAAGTGTGCAATCCACACGTACCCATTCCATCTCTGCCGTAGCCTCCCATTCCAGAGCCACCTCCGGCAGTGGAATTCAGGAATAGTTCAATGTATCGATGCTCTGCAGGAAGCAAGAAAGCTTTACTTTGTATTTTGTTTCACAAAGCAGACTCAGAGGCACAAAGCAAACATCCCTCCATACAAGTAGCAGAGAGAACAGCACAAGAAGGCGGGTGCCAGGGAACACGACACTCACGCATGTGGTTCTTATCCTTAGACATGGCAGCTACTGCGTCCTCGTGTGTCACAAACTCCACATCTGCCTCTCCTGTAGCTCTTCCATCTGCCCCAATATCAATGTGAACTCTTATAGGGTTCAACGGCGAGAAAAACTAAGAATAAAACAAATTAAAAAAATCGCATTAACGTAGAAGTCAAGCCAGGTACTTTTTTTCCATCCCTGTGGTTAGTGGTGCACTGCATCAATTAATGTCGTCCTACCACATTAAATTTAATTACTCATTTCCCAATTAGAGGGATAGGGGACCTTCAATATTGGGTCAACCTACACTGACGATCCATTATTACTACACAGCTTCAAGAGCTGCAGCGACAGAGCTTGAGGAGCTTTCTTTGAAAGCAAATATACAAACAACTCCTGCCCACACACACTGCTCTGAGCAATACAATCTTATATGATGCCATCCTGGACAAGAAAAAAATTAGTTGGTTTTTATTTGTCTCTGCTTCTTCAGATTTCTCAAAGCAAGGACACATCCATGGAATTCAAAAAAAGCTACGCATTCATCAGACTGCTCTTCCTCACTGCTCCCAATCAAAGCCTGATGTTTGGCCCTTGTCTCACACAGTCGCTAGACTAAAAAAAACAATCAAATTGACACAAGAAAAAGCATCTCAATTCAAACCAACCAACCCACTCAAAAAAGAAAACAAGCACAAGTTTAAGAATGGAGTTCTTATATATAAATATATATAAGCCTTGTATCCCGACAAAGCTTTTCCCCCTACAAACCCCACATTACGCTGACACAAGAATACATTCCCAAAATCTGCAGATGAAAGAGATCAGGGTGGCAGATAAAAGCTCAAGTAATGGGATACCATCCCCTCCAAACACAGCCCCCTACAGTCTTCACACCCTGCCCCTCCTAAAATAGGCTCAGGTCAACAAATAAATATGCAAACTAAGCGAGCTAAGTTTCACATCTGCTGTTACTTTCGAAACTAAATAAGCTTAAACAAGTTCTGAAAACCTTAAAAAGAGGATACCGAAAGCAGCAACTGTTGCCTCTGCAATACAACTTGTACGGAAACAGAAGAGCACCAAGTAAAAGGATTAATGTTAAATACAGCTTTGCTGACTGCTCTGGTGATCCCACCTCAGACAGTAGCTTTAAAAGCTCATTAACTCTGTGCAACTCACAGAAAGGGCTGTGACTTTATGGAGCAGACGTAGCAGTCCCTAGTTTTGAGAACTCTAACCCAGTTTGAACATGCAAACTCCTGGGAGCAGGAGGCCCTTTTCCCCATGGTACTTACGTTAGCAATATCGTTTTCCGTGGCTCGGAAGGGCAGCCCTCTCATGTGAACAAAATGACCGCCACCATGGAACCCCGACCCTGCATCTCCAGTTCCATAGCCATGTCCTCCCATGCCTATTGGAAAACCCAAACCAAAAAAAACC